GAAACCTCACACCTCTCTCCCTCTAAGCCCCTGCATCCGGAATGACTCTGAATGGAATCTTATTTATGTTCAACGTATAATTTTGTTCATTCACATTTAATGTAAAGACAAAAACTCATTAACCAGGTGGAAAGATTAATAAGCCCCACTTAGAAAGAAGCCGAAAGGGGTCGCGCCCATAAGAGTGTGGGAGAGGGAGAGGGAGAGAGGAAGAGAGGGGGGGAGAGAGAGAGACATCAATTTGTTGTTCCACTTATTTATGCATTCACTGGTTGGCTCTTATAGTTTGTGCCCTGACCAGGGATTGAACCCACAACCATGACATATCTGGACAACACTCTAAATGAACTAACCAGCCAGGGCCAACAGCATATCCTCTTCATACGATACAATGAGCCATCCTCCCAAAAGCCCATAACCCTCATCTAATCATGAGAAAAACATCAGGCAAGTCCCAACTGAGGGACATTCTACAAAACACCTGACCAAAGCTTCTCAAAACTATCAAGGTTATGAAAAACAAAAGTCTGAGAAATTGTGTATAGCCAAGAGGAGCCTAAGGAGACACGGTGCCTAAATGTAATGTGGTGTCCCGGATGAGATCCTGGAACAACAAAAGGGCATTAGGTTAAAAAACTAAGGAAATCTGAATAAAGTGTGGACTTCAGTTAACAATGTATAAATATTGGTTTACTAATTGTGACAAATGGTACCATACCAATGTAAAATGTTAGAAATAAGGAAAACTGGGTGCAGAATACATGGGAACTCTGTACTATCTTCACAATCTTTCTGAAAAATGTATAGTAAAATATTCTAAAATAAAAACATTACTAAAAAATAAATAAACAAACAAACACATTACTTAAAAGTGTTTGTGGGGAGTGTGGTCATGGAACTAGTCTTCCAGTTTAGGCTAAAAAATGACAGAGCATCTGGTGATTCACTGGCTGGTGGGTGGGGTAGAGGAATCAGGATGAAAGGTTACCACCAGATTTCACGCCTGGACACCGAGACGGAGAGAGGAGTTTCATTCCCTGATAAAGGAGCAATGGCCATGAACCAGACGTGGAGGGAAATGGAAGCATTTACTCGGGGCCCATTACGTGCCAGGAGCTTTTCAAATTCTTATAATCATTTGGCACGGTAGACACGTTATCTGGCCCAGAGCCAAATACATGAATTACCGTGGATTTGGGCATCAGGTGTGGTTTCGGGTTTGCATGTCCTCCAAAGCCCCGCGCTCTTTCCCCACAGTTCCTTCCTGTGTGCATTTGCTCCACCCGCAGCCCAGGCGCCACCAGCCTCTGCAGTACGGCCTCGGCAGGCACTCCCTCCCCGGGCCTATCTGCCAAATGACCATCTCCATCTCGGAAGTTGTATCCAAGGAAAGGCGGGTAGGAACGTCATTAAGATGAAGACAAGACCCCCACAGACGGCAGCACTTCTCAGGGGGCTAAAAGATAATGATGATGAAGTAAAGAAGCGAAGGGAATTCTCTTGGATCTCCTCTCGCCAAGCGGTCTCCGGAGACAAGGGCGATCCCGGGAGAGTGCCGAGTCGGGGCGGCGAGCCGAGGGTGGTCCCACGCACCCCGACCCCAAGGCCCCAGGACTCCACGGGACCCCCCGGAGAAACGCCCGCCAGCCCGCCCTGGGCCACGCGGCACAAGGTGACACGGTCCGTGCCAATCCTCCGCCGCCTGGCAGAGGCCGGGACCAGGAGGAACAGGGTGCCCGCGGGGCCCGCGCTACCTTGTACTTATCAAAGCCAGCCAGCTGCTCCGAGCTCACGTATTCGTAACCTGCCATGGCGACCCGAAGACTGAGCGGCCACTCGCGCTGCGGCGGCGACTCTCCAGCACGCAGTGCGAAAGCACCAGCCCCGGCTAGGCAGGGATGGCCAGAGCGGGGCTGGTAATATTGGTAAAAAGAGCCGAGCTCCGCCCACCACGCATGCGTATCCGCCTCGGCCACTCTGCCACCGCCCGGCACGCAAGCGCAGCCCTCACTTCTCCCCGCCCACCGAGGGAAGGTTGCTAGCGGGCTCACGCGGTCCGCCCCTCACACCTTGGAGGTCCAATCAGCGTGAAGAGAGTAACACTAAGTCCCGCCTACCAGATCTCCTCATCGCTTCATTCGCTAGCGTCAAAATTGGTGAGCTGCGTGGAGGAGAGAGGGAGGTGAAAGGTCACTTCCCAAGGGGCTTTGCCCCTCGCCCCCGGTTAAGGGCGGCGGTCGCGGTGGCCCCGCCTGCGTGAAGGTTTGGGCTGCCCTTTTAATCTTGCGGATAGAGTGAGTGCATGCGAGCTGGTTCAGTATCTCAGGGGAAAGGGTTTTGTTCCCTCAAGTCGTAAAAGAGCAGAAGTAAAAGCAGAAAAAGGATGGTGCCTGGCGCGCTTCCAGCTCCTGGCATATGGGGGGGCGGGGGGCGCCGGGGCGGGGGAAGGAAAGGGGTGACTTGACGTCGAGAAGCTGGTAACAGGCTTCTTGCGGTCGGGAGAGGGGCGTGAACGCACTGGAGACCAAGCCCGCAGGTCATCGCTGGGAGCCTTGGCCGCCTCACCGCTCTGCTCTACCGAAGTGCTCGAGATCAGGAAAGGTAACGTCTCCCAGCCAGGCAGAAAGCGCTGCTCCCGGAGTCCCGAGGGCTTGGAAGGAGAGTGTTTACATACCTGGAGCCGGCTCACTATAGGAAGAGAACCAGATCGATGGCTAGTGCGCCAATCTAATAGCATTGAAGAACAGTAATAAAGTCAGCAGTCAGATGACCTAACCCAGGGTTATTACAGGGATCTATCCCCCGCTTTTCAAAAGTTCAGATTAGTCTGAAGTATGGTAGCTACCATCTATAGTTTAACTCTAACCCTGCTATTTGGCTTAACAATAGAAAAGTTATTTTGATTTTCTGAATTGTATAAATCATCCCATTCGATTGAATCCCTTATTGATTGAATGACTATCCCATTGATTGTGATCTTACTGGTTATCGAAGCACATTCTTCTGTACCTGGGAAACAGGACAGCACAATTACCCTAAATTGTTTTAGTGGCCACAGGTGGTGCGTTCCAGCTGACTCAGTGGACCCGAGGGCTCTAGATAACGTGTTTCTATCAACTCAGTGATCCGGAGACCCAAAACTGTAATTTAGATAACATGCCTAAGTTTAACCCAGGTTACCCAAGGGCTCTAGATAATGTATTTCTGTCAATTCAGTGACCCCGAGACCCGAAACTGTAATTAACATGCTTACTTCTGCTTCTGTAATCTGCTTTTTTGTGAGCCAGGTTCCTCATTCCAAACCCTAAGATGTAATCAATACCTGTGTGATTTTTTGCCTATATAATCCTGGAACTGTGACTAAATGGTTACTATGAGATTTGGGAATGACTCCTCATAGTCCCGGATTGCAATAAATGTGACTCTTTAATTTGACTTCTTGAGGCGTCCTTCTGTGATTCGCGGGGTACATTACAACAAGTCCATTTTGCTTTTAGGAAAGTCCTACGTTAGTCCAGCAGGTCCTCAAATCAGACCGTTTTCATTCATTGTGCTGTGGACGAAAGGGGCCACATGCTGACCTGACAGGCTCAGGGGAGGCCTACATCAGTGATGGCGAACCTTTTGAGCTCGGCGTGTCAGCATTTTGAAAAACCCTAACTTAACTCTGGTGCCGTGTCACATATAGAAATTTTTTGATATTTGCAACCATAGTAAAACAAAGACTTATGTTTTTGATATTTATTTTATATATTTAAATGCCATTTAACAAAGAAAAATCAACCAAAAAAATGAGCTTGCGTGTCAGAGGTGACACGCGTGTCATAGGTTCGCCATCACTGGCCTACATGGTGGTCTTGCAAACTCAGAGACCTAAAGTAACCACAAAGGATGGTCTGAAATTAAACTTTAACTAAAGCAGTGATGGTGGGCAGTTATGTCCTAGGCCAGTATCTTCACTGACAAGGTCAACCTTTACCTTCACTGAGCCTATCTGTCTTTTTGCATCTATGATAACATGCCCTTGAAATGTCTGGGTAACTTGTAACTTCCCTTTATCTGGAGCCCCTGGGGCACAACCAAATGTGCTGGGCGCCAGGACAGATACCACAGATTCCTTCATTATCATGTTAATTATCCTGCACCCACCTAAGTTTGTGTCCATCATTTTACTTTTTATCCAATCCCAGGGGTTTCCCTGCTTTGCTTTCTCCCTCCTCCTTAATCTATCACCAATGGATTTCATGTAACCCACCTACGTCCCTCCCTTGATTGCAAATGTATAAATACAAAGGTAACCCTGCCATTCTCTGGAGCATTATCTCAATTCGTTGAGGTTCTGCTTCCCGGCATATGTCGACAGTTTGGCTCAAATAAACTCACAAATTCTTTACAGGTTTCAATGGTTTTTTTACGTTAACAGTGCTTAGTTAGAACTGGACAAAAAAGGGGCCCATCCCAAACTTGACAGGCTCAGAGGAGAGCTGCGTGGCAGGCCTTACCGACTCGGATGGGAAGGAACCACATAGGTGGTCTGCGGCTAAAAGCAGGTCACGGCAGGTAGTCACATCCTAGGCCTGTAGCTTCCTTGACAAAGGTCAACCTTAAGCGAGTCTGTCTACAGTCTCTTTTGCGTCTAAGACAATATACCTTTGAAATATCTGACTTCTCCTTTTCCAGACCTTTCAAAGAACACCCACTGCACCAGAGCAAGAGATCACAGATTCCTTGTTATCTTGTTCCCCGAATGCCATCTCCATATGCGGTGAGTGGTAGCTATTAACTGTCCTGTACCCACCAACCTAAAAGATGTTTGTGTCTCTCCATTTACTTTTTATCCAATCCCAGAGATTTCCCCACTTTGCTTTCTCCCATCCCCTCAATCGTAACACAAATGGATTTCATGTAACCGTCCTTACACCTCCTCCTTTGATCCTAATGTATAAAATAGGCTGCAAACCTGCCATTCTCCAGAGCATTTTCTCAGTTCATTGAGATTTTGCTTCCTGGCGGTTGTCATCAGTTTGACTCAAATAAACTCATAAAAGTTCTCTAATAAGATTTGGACATTTCTTATTTCTACATACTAGTCTTGATGAGATGTTGTAAGAACTTAACTCGTGTTTACATCAATTAGTCTATGGTAAAATTATATTTCAGCTTTATTTGTTATTTGGTATGATTTGGTTATTTCAGGAATCTGGGGATGCTCAAGAATTTTTCCATATAGATTCATGGTGATTGGTTTTTGGCTTTACACCATTTTATCTTACGAAAGTTTCCATAGGAATGCTCTACTTTCGGGTAACGGGAAAACCTGTAATTCCACAGCTCAAAATGGTCAACCAACATGAAAGGAGGTCTCTAATATTGAAAGCCACTGTCTAAGGGAGCCTCTAGATCTCTCTGGGCTTCTGAAAGAAGGGTAGTTATCTTAAGATCTCTTGTGTTCCTTACATTCATTCATTCAACAGATACCTACTGGGGGCTCAATATATGCCAACTATATTATTATTTCTGCATGTCTTGTCTTCCCTTCTAAAGTATAAGAGTCTTACAAAGTAAGAGATACAGTACCTGATGTAAACGTCAGCAAGTTACTCATATTGGATTTCTCTTTCTGGTTTGACATGAGAATAGGAATAGGAAAGGCTAAAGGGATCATTTGAGAAGTAATCCCTGGAGGTAGCCACCAGACAGTCCCCTCTTGAAAACAGTAAGCAGGTAATCAGCAGAAAGTGAAATTCAGAGTAAAGAATGAAGGCATTAAGATGGACTATAGAGCCCAAATTGCTCCAAAGGAATAGGGCTTGCAAATAAGAATATAGGTAAAAGCCAAAGAAGAATAAAGTAGGATAAAGCACGTTTTATGGGTAATTTTTATATTTTTACTTTTATTTTTATTTTACTTTTTTGTTAATCCTCACTCAAGGATATTTTTCCATTGATTTTTAGGGAGAGTAGAAGAGAGAGGGAAAGACAGAGAGAAATATTGATGTGAGAGAAACAAATTGATTGGTTGCCTCCTGCATATGCCCTGACCAGGGCCCAGGCCGGAGAGGAGCCTGCAACCAAGGTGTGTGCCCCTGGTCAGAATCAAACCTGGGACCCTTTGGTCCGCAGGCCAACGCTCTATCCACTGAACCTAATCAGCTAAAAAACAGGCAATTTTTAAAACCCCATCTCTTGTGTAATGCTTTAAATTTTATATGTGCTAGAAGTAAAAACTTTTCTTTTAGAAATGAAGGCCTAAATGTCCATTAGAAGGAATAATTATCTCATAAAAGAAGACACCTTTGTGGCTGGGGTCCCTGACAGCCACGCCAGTGCTGCCACTGCCCCAGTTCTGAGGAGGAATCGCTCACAAAACGTGACCAAAAAGACAGGAGGAGCTGGAAGAGAATGACAGGAACTACATGAGACCCTGTAGGACAGACCATGGAGTCTGGCAGAGATGTTCCCAGAGAGCCAGGTTCAAGGCCAGGGCTACTTTTGACCTCTCCCTCTTAGTGGCTTAAAAAATGCACAGCCTGCCCAGCTGGTGTGGTTCAGTGGTTGAGCGCTGACCTATGAACCATCAGGTCATGGTTTGATTCCCGATCAGGGCACATGCCCGGGTTGCAGGCTCAATCCCCAGTGTGGGGCAGGCAGGAAGCAGCCGATCAATGATTCTCTCTCATCATTGATGTTTCTATCTCTCTCTCCCCCTCCTTTCCTCTCTGAAATCAATAAAAATATATTTTTTTATTTATTTATTTTTAAATATATTTTATTGATTTTTTACAGAGAGGAAGGGAGAGGGATAGAGAGTTAGAAACATCCATGAGAGAGAAACATCGGTCAGCTGCCTCCTGCACACTCCCTACTGGGGATGTGCCCGCAACCAAGGTACATGCCCTTGACCAGAATCGAACCTGGGATCTTTCAGTCCGCAGGCCGACGCTCTATCCACTGAGCCAAACCGGTTAGGGCAAAATATATATTTTTAAATGCACAGCTTTCAGAAGACCCCGCACCCCTCAGTCTCTCATTACAGGGTAGGAACTATTGCCATTGGGAGAGACGTACCCCAACCATTAACAACGGTTTGGTTTTTATTTTAATGGAGATGTTGGGGAGGGACATGTGCACGATGTGAAACTGAGCAAACACATTACAGCTATAGGGTAAAGCAGCCACAGTGAATTCCTGTGTGTGTGGGAGAGGATGAGGGGGGCCCACGGCGGTGTCAACCACAGGGTGGGACTGTGGGGAACAGGGCAGGAGCTCATTTCCTCTGTGCGTTTTGGCGGTTGGACCTGTGTGTGTGCTGAAAATGACTAAATAAAAATAATAGAAAAATAATCAGCACTCACTTTTTTTGTTTTTAAATATTAAAATGATTCAGACTAGAAGAAAAGAAGGTATCTGTGAACAATATATTACATATTATAATATAATAGACATATTGTATATTGTATCCAGAAAGTTATCTTTTAGTAGAAAAAAAAAACATAAGGATGAATCAATGCTCTCCTAACAGTCAACACCAAGAAAGGTTCTCTGTTCCCTGTGTTCATCGCCATCATCATCATTATCCACTTTAACTATAATATATAGAAAGTAATATACTTGTATCCATAAAGCACCACCAGGAATTAACAATGTTATTTTTTTGCCATTGTGCTTTTTTTTAATGCTTCAGCTAAAGCTCCAGCTCTTCACCTTCCTTTCCCTTTTGTCCCCCAAGTTAACACTATCTTGAAGTTGTTGTTTATTGTTCTTACCATATTTTTTACTTTTATTACATATGTTCATATCTAGATGCAATATAGTATTATCTTGTGCTTGTGTGTGTGTGTGTGTGTGTACTTAAATAGTATCCCACTGTTCCTAAACTCTTGCAACATTTTTTACAGTTAACATTGTTTTAGGTTGATCCATGTCGATACATATGGATCTAGTTCATTCATTTTAATGTCTTGATGGTTTTAAAGTATGGTAGTATATAGTACAACTATCTACAGTGTGTTTATCCATCCTACTACTGATGGACAGTAGTCATTTCCAATTCTTGGACCACTCTTTAATAAATTTCCTTTCTAAAAAATTTTTAAAATTCACGGACTCTCAAGAAAAACCTCTAGGGAACCATATTCAAGGAAAAAACCAACTTTCTTGTATATTTCTTTTGTGTGCGTGAGAGCAATATGAAAAGTTGTGCTCATTTCGTTTTTAAAAATAAGAACAAGGAACATAACACCTCTTAAGTCAACAGTCAAAAGGAAAGTACGTATATAATTTGGTTTGTTTTATGACCAGAAAGGGAGCCGACCATACATTTCTCAGTTACACATTTCTCAGTTGTTTTCACTTTTTTTTTTTTCAACAAGCCTGCATTGCTGTGATAACTTCAAATCAAAGCCATTTTTATTTTTTATAAGTTGTTTATTTGCTTGCTTTTATATTTTTAATGTAGGTATTCTGTTGTTGCCCAAATTCACTGGGATCTTAATTGAATGCAAACTCCTCTTTGGGCAGATTTATTCTTTAATTCTGAAATAAAGGTCCAAACTAATTCTATCCCAGAGTTAGAGAGGGTGGTATCCACCCTCATTTTTATTATGTGACCAATTCACTTCCTTTTGGCAATTGTAACCCATCAAATGGCTTCTCGCTATCTCATTACACCAGTTAGGTTTGAGGAGGCTGGATTTTATCCTGTGAAGGATATTTTAAAAAGGAATAACATGAGTGTCCTATGAATACTTGAGAATATTCTTAGCTCTTCTGTAATGCATTTAGAGAAGTGTTTTCAAAAGCAAGTACTAACTAATGATGATTATAAGAATGCTACCCACTTGGAATAACAGAACAGTGGTTTAGCCGGGCCGGCATGGCTCAGTGGTTGAGCCTCGACCTATGAATGAGGAGGTCATGATTTGATTCCCGTTAGGGCACATGCCCAGGTGGTGACTTGATCCCCAGTAGGGGGCGTGCCTTCAGCAGCTGGTGGATGATTCTCGTCATTGATGTTTCTCTCTCTCTCTCCCTCTCTCTTCCTCTCTGAAATCAATAAAAAAAATATTTTTAAAAATGTTTTGTATGAAAAATCAAAAAACCACATTAATGAATGATCAGAAACAATTGTTTAGCTCTTAGCAAATGTCATCTTTAATGTCAACAGCTCACAACTTATTATCAGGTGGGAACGTCTGAAATATCTAATCATAGAAATAGTTTCCAAAGTTCCACTTTGGGGGAATGCCCATGTAGTCAAACACTGTACCTCCCAGGAACACATCTCCTAGAGCCCATATCTTAGGTTGCCGAACTGGGCAACAAGCCCTAACCACTCTGATTCTTATGCCCTTACGTTTAAGGCGAGTCCAGAAGTGAGAACATTTCTTTTTTCAAGATTAAAGCTGAATCTATGTTAAAAGAATGTGGCCAGTAAAAATAGGTTAATTTGTAGCAATCATTGCCTTTGGCAGAAACATGTCAGTTCAAATATCAGTTGGGTCAGGATTCACATGGTTTCATGAAAGTTCATTCCAATATCTGCATATTTTCCAAAGGCCCAGAGATTTGCCTTGGGTTTCTACAGCAGAAGGGTTTCATCGCTGTCTCTGTGGACCGTTGAGCTGCGTGGACTTTGAAATGGAATATCCACTGTTGCAAACAATTTTCTCGAGCATTGCCATATTTCACAGATAAATTTCTAGCTGAAAAAGACTATGAAATGCTGGCTAGCGGTTAAGGACATTGCCACAGACTATAGAAGAG